AATGTACGTATTTTCTGGTGGTTTACATATGTATGAATGCATATATGCAGTGTGTATACCGTGTTTTGTAAGCGTTTGTAAGTGTATAAACTCATGTTCAGAATCCTGCTGCTTCTTTACACTCACTCACACAGAGGACAGACTTGCCGGAAGGAACATGATAAGTACTAACGCAGGATATANTTCAATTGCGTGCTCCTTGCTTGGTTTCCCGTAGAGTTTGTAACGAAGAACTGGCACCTCAGACTCAAATTTGTAGGCAGGTAAATTCCTATAAGATACATTATGTGGGCCTCCACAATTGGCATAAGTACGCAGCTGTGCAGGGTAACTTGAACGGTCATGACCAGGTTGGTCACATAGAGGGCATCGAGCAGTGGAGCGACTGTGCTTTGCAGGGTGACCGAAACGCCAACATTTTTTTATATTGACGGGGAGGAGGTTGATATGGTCTGACCTGGTAAGATATTCCACCGATATAGAGCTTATGGGGAAGGTATTTTCTACGAAAGGTAATCTTGGCAATATTAACGCGGAAAGGGTACAAAATCTTCATCACTGGCCATCTGAAGCCTAAAATGCGTGAGGAAGATAAACGTCCATCCCTCAGGGTCCCCATGAGGGGTAAGAGCTAAACAATTACCAAGGGAATGCCGTGCCCATGGCTCCTTGAGGCCATTCATGACTGGCTCAAAGTCAGCCTTTCATCTTTTCAACACCGCTCTCACACTTTGGGAACTGAACAGGGAAAAGAGTTGGGGAAAGTAAGGTAAAGGAAAGGAAGAAGAGAAAAGACCTTGCAAAATTAGTTGAGCTGTGGGCTGAAGCCTAAGGTAGGAGTGATCCCCTACCTTGGGCATCAGTCTCCATCTCTTAAGACCCCCACGACAACAACGGGCAAGGGATTGGGGGGGGCAATTAGAACAAAATATGTTAGACTTCAGAGAGCACTGCAGGTTAGTATGATAGTGAAAATGGTAAAGAGGGAATAGCAAACGGAGTACGAAGGCCTTTCATCCTTTCAGCACGGCTCTCACACTTGTGGATGTGGGCAGGAGATGAAGAAAAAAAAAGAAAAAGAAAAGTGAAGAAAAAAACATGTAAAATTAGTTGAAGTAAGGGCTGAGGTCCAGGGCAGGGTGATCACCTACATTGGGCTTTAGTTCTCGTCTCCTAAGCCCCAAACAATAATAACGGGCATGGGATTGGGGTGTGGTAGTGAAAAGGGTAGAGGAAAGCGAAAACAGAATACGAAGGCCATTCAGGACTAACACAAAACCAGCCTTTCAAACTTTCAGCTCGACTTCCACACTATAGGATACGGGGATGAAGTTAAATTAATGGCCAGAAGCAAAACATATGCGCTAGATATCGAAGGTCATATAGCACTATAGGAAAGTATAGAATCGATAGAGATGGGGGCGAGTTAATGGTTAGGTGTTATATGTCAACAGTTGTACAGTAGGAGGATGGTACTGAAAGGGGAATAAAGATGGGTAGAGGTGGAGGGGCGAGTGATTGGGTTAGGTTCGGAATAGACAAGAGGGGGTTAGATCAAGTGAAGGATGTGTACGTGTCTAAGGAAGGAGAACAGGTTTTCCATGCAGAAAGTGTGGGATTCCTTCAGGATGTTTGACAGGTTGGGAGGTCGCTGTAGGGAAGATAAGTGAGGAAAACCAGAGGTACAGAGTGAGGTAAAACGTGGACAGGACAAGAGGAGGGTGAAGAAGAGAAAAGATCATGCAAATTTAGTTGAGGCGAGCTCAAGTGTAGGGGTGGTCAAGGTCTGAATAAGTACACTGGGTCTCAGTCACCATCTCTTAAGCACCCCCCCCCCCCCACGACAACGTGGAAGAGATTAGGGGGGAGGGTATCCGGCATTAATATTCATAATTCACGCCTTATGTGAAGTTATCATTTTACCCGAAAAACATTCATGAACTCAAATCATTTTTGTGTTCGTGTTAAAATGCTTTCATTCTCTATTCACAAGTCGATTCGTTATCCTTCGATATGTATTTTTTTTTTTTTTCAATCTGCTGTTTCCTGGACTTGCTTTTTATTTCCGAGTTTCTTATATTTTGGCAGTAAAACACGTCCTCGTCCTTCTAATTTCAATTAAAGATGGACCGACACGTTCCTCGGTGCTTGAATTGTTGGCGTTACCCCTGGGGGAAGAGGCGATTTCTGTGAAATCATGCTCCTTAATCCTACCAGGAAGAAAAAGGTCCGTTAAGCCTTTTGTTTCAGAGTCCAATCGATTGCACGTTTTTATCTTGTAGAAAAAAAAACATGAGAATGAATATCTACACAATACATATGTATTTGACCGGTTTCGAATATATCTATTTGAAAATACCTCTCGAATACCTCTCTTGTAATGGTTAATGGTTAATAGTTAAAGGCGAAATAAATGTGCTAGACATCTAAGCTCATATAGCACTATAGGAAGGTATAGTAAAGGGGGATGTCAGGTGATAGTTGCTATGCGTCAACTATCTAGAGTAATGTTGAAAGGTTGAAGTTGGAGAAGGGTTGATGAGGGAAAGAGTTATGGTGGTTTAGGTATGGGAGTTAGATCAAGTGGAGGATATTAAGGTGTTTTATGATGGATAAGTATAGACGAGACATAAAGGGAGTGTGGGGAAGAGATAGAATGGTAATTGGGAATTGGAATTTGGAGGATGTGTGAGGAAAGTCTCTTGGAGGCAGATAATGGATTATAAGCAAGGATATGACGTTGGTCTGGTCTGTGAGAACGGAAGCTGAGAATATTCCAGTGTAGGAGAGTTATATTTTAGTTATTTTGAGTGAAAGCGACGGTACGCATTGGGGAATCTGGGGGGGAAGGAGCTAGGGGGTGTAAAGGAGGGGTGTCAGGAGGTAGGGAATCTGGGGAAGGGCACGGGTGTGACATGAGTGATTCCCGTGTGTATCCGGGAGGGAGTGGAAAGGATAGAGGGGATGGAGGGAGGGAGAATGTGCGTATGATTGGGTTGAAGGGTGGTTGTGTTGGGAGGGATTAAGAGGAAGGGGTGTAGGGGTGCTATGAGTAAGAGGCGGATGGATATTAGGAGGATGGATATCGGTGGTGGATGAAATTGAGGGGGTTAGTTTGTGTTGAGAGGGAGTAGGAGGAAGGGGTGTAGAGGGAATATGAGGAGGAGGGGAATGAATATCGGCAATCACTTCAAGTGTGGAAGGAGCATGAGTTATGGGATCTTGTGTCTCAAGCATATAGTTTTGAATGTCATTCATAGTTTCTGCAGTGGAGTTGGTTGGAGAGTTTTGTGGGACAAAGGTTTTCTTATGAGGGGAGGGGGAAGAGGAGACTACCCCTGGGGGAAGAGGAGACTACCCCTGGGGGAAGAGGAGACTACCCCTGGGGGAAGAGTCGATTTCTGTGAAGTCCTGCTCCTTAATCCTACCAGTAAGAAAAAGGTCCGTTAAGCCTTTTGTTTCAGTCTCCAATCGATTGCACGTTTTCATATTGTAGAAAAAACATGAATGAGAATGAATATCTACACAATACACGGTATGTATTTGACCGGTTTCGGATACAATGGAACCTCTTATAATAGGCACTTCCTCGACTTGGCAGCTTCTTCTAATAGGCGTGTTTTGTCCGGTCCCAACCGACGCTAATGTAATTTCTTATTAAAGGTACTTCCTAGACCAAGCACTTCCCGTCTCCGGCAATTGGCAGCCAAATCCCGGTCCCGATTAGCCAATCAGCTTCCCCAAAATCGGCAGTGGGATTCTGATTAAAACGCGACATTCTGATGAAAAGGACGGCAGTGATGACGAAGGCGAGGAGAACGAAACACGTCCGGACGCAACCATCAGAGAAGCGATAGAAATGACGGAAAGACTTCGGGACTTCTTTCTGCACGAGAATATGTCAATGTGCAGATATGACACCGATGAAAAATTCTTTACTTGAAAAACTCGTGTCATCCTACCGGCAGGTTGACTTTTCTTTTTTCAAGCGCGTGAACAGTTGATTAATTTTGGAGTCTCTACTTAAACAACTTTGCGTAATTCTCTCGTCAGACTAAGTTGATGTCTTGTTTTCACTCGTATAGTTTTTTTGTTTTTTTTTTTGCTAATGCATTTTGTAAATAAGGTTTGGAAATTGCGTCTTTGCAAGTCAAGCCAAGAGTGCAGTTTTCACATTTTTCTCATTTTCATAATGTATTTTTTAAATATTTGTATATATAATAGTGTATATACACTATATCTATGACTCCCTGTCCTCCTGGTCGTTACGCATGCCTTGGACCCCAGCTTCCCGAATTCGGCAGCTTCTCGAAATAGGCACTTTTGGGCGGGTCCCTTGATCTGCCTAGTCCAAGAAGTTCGACTGTATATCTATATTTGAAAATCCCTCTCAAATACCCCTCTTTTAATGTGGAGATATTCGTTCCCATTCATATCTCCCCTACATTTTTCAACATGAATACTGTTCGTGTTAATCTGGTGCGTCAACGACTATAAAAGTTACTAACGTTGGCGTCTGTGGCTGGACAAAGCAGGAGGCCATCTTGTTTTACCCTTCGGCCCGCTGGAATTACTCTCATTTTAAGGGGTTTGTTCTTTGGTCTACTTTTTCATTAGCCCTTTAAAATACATATGCTTCAATTGGTGCATAGTCCATTCCTTTCACATTTACTACGGGCAATAAAGGGAAATTTAGATTTCCCCCCCATTTCTTCCTTTCACTTTATTACACCTCTTTGGTACTATGGTATCTGCCTGTTCCCAACTGCACCATCACCATGATAAATCGTCATTGCATTTTTTTCCACAAAATCTCATTTACTAAACTCCTGTAGATTATTCAACTTGCTAAATGGAAAAAAAATCCTTTTCTAGTATGGATTTTCTAGCATTTTAAACATTTACTTGGAGCGTTACACATTGACATTCTCATTTTAGCCTATTTCTTTCTTTAGCGCTACTCTTTCCAATACCTGCGACAGGAGAAGAAAATGAAGAAGTGCAAAATGTGAATTACATTTCCAGAAAATATCTCCATACAACAGGAACAGAACATACAAACCGTAGCCTAGCATATCTAACTTGACTATCATAATCAAATAATCTTTAAAAGAATGCATTAAAAGGATCATACGAAAATATAAACTAAATGAATTTGAAAACTCATTCCTGTCTCTTCTAATCACATCTATATTTCAACATTCCCAACAATTGTCTTAGTAATCTTATTTAGTTTGATATCCCCCATTCTGTCTCCACTAGTACACACTATTACTTGTTTATAAAATGCATCCTATGCAATGCTCTGCAACATTGCACAAGCCAATAGAAAAAGGAGACTGGAAGCTTCTTACACATGTATAATATACGATACATATAAAGAACTCTACATCTCTCTACTTGCCTATAGTCGTATCACATTTTGAATCTATCTTCCAACTCTCTAAAAAGAATCAGGTCCTTTCGTAAGATTTTGTGAAAAATACTTTTAAATGTTTAATATAAAATTCAGACAATATATTTTCATTTATATTTTAAACAGTTGCCATACAAGAAAGACACCCTCTTTCCCATGTTACTGACATTTATTTTAAATCACAAAAGGTTTATCTTTTGTTTTTTTAGAAGTTAACAAGCAATATAAAAATACATGTCATATAATATCTGTAGAGCTGATAATCAATTTCAAACTTCCAATCAACAGTAAAAAAAGTAGCATGCACATAATTACAGATGTTCAACCATTTCCCCTATAAATATAGTCTTTAAAAAATAATAATGGGAAAATAACAAAAAAAAAGTCGGCCACATACAAATGGAAATACTTAAAGCATTGTATCAATGGAAGTCGCACCTCGAAAATTTCAACACTATCAAACATAAAGGGATGGGAAGGTCACAGACATATTACAGTTAAAAAGTGTCATGGTTACAACATAAACGGTCTTCACAAGTCTCTCTGCTCTTAAGACATATCTGGTCCACTGGTTTAAAGTCCCAAGCCACATTCTTGTAGATTACAACAGTGTGTCCCTTCAGACCCAACTTAGCATAACTTAACCTTGACGAAGTTCCAGACCCTTTGACTATCCTGTTAATGAGTGGAAATCGTGAACACAGTATATAATGCATCTCTCAATCTGGAGTTAAAAGCTGCATAGAAAATAAGGTAAACAAAATGTCTTTTGTATTAAGGAAACTCAAGCAACTTCTACTAAAGCAAAAGTTTGACACTGGGTAACATGGCTAGCAGGCACTTCAACATACTTAAAAAAAAAGTAAGAGCCATTATTCTCAAATATTGCAAGCAATCCATGTTTTATTAATCAGGCAACACCAATATCCTAATTCACTAAACCCATCATCAAGCCATGACAAGGTGGGAGTCTGGATGACAAAGACTATATCAAAGGCCTAAATTCATCTTGCATGCATATTTAGAATAGGGCATGGTGAAGTAAGAATATTCATGCAAAATGGAACAATGGAATAATCTAATTATTCTATACACGTCCTATACCAGTATTGTACTTCAGGTCCTGTCCCTTTGGAACAAGACCTGAACTCCTTGACATCTAGGTTGCCATCTTCAACATTATCATAACTACGATCACAGTTCAGTTTTCATTCATTGTATCTTGAACTTATAAACATTGTATTTCATACTTTTTAAAGTCATTAGTATCCAAATGCATTGAAATGAGCAATAACAAGTCTATAAATAATGTAACTTGGACCACGTGTAAAGAAGTAAATGGTTTCGTACACGATTGATATATAAACATATTTAGGATGTATAAAATATTACACGTCTCTCAATTCAGGCATGCAGTATGTGTAACCCTGAAATCAATCCATTCTATGAATGAGATTCTTTTACTGATATAATGTATTTATCACACAAATTCTTAGATAATACCTTCAACATGGGAAACAATTCACTTTATAATTTTTAGTATTCATGAGAGCATACCATATCAAGAATAACTGGTTTCAATCTTCCTTTTTTTCAAAACTTATCAACTGACTAAAGCAATCATTCACCGGGTAACAAAATTTGCTTGTGTCTTCTATATCATCCAAGTTTCCACTATTATCCAACCTCTCATAGTTCAGGGTCCTTGCATTTATTTTTTCATTATCATTTGCAAGGCAAGCAGAAAAAAAAATAGAAGTCAAAACTGCAAATTTGAGCACTTCAGGTGCTAAGCAGACTGCTCAGCACACAACACCAATGCCCTGCAACACCTCTCTCTCGTGTGGATTAAGATGTGGGATGAAGACAGGAAAGGCTGGGTGTTGTGCAAACGTGCTGATGAAGGTTGTGAGATACTGCTGCAAGTCCAGACTGTACAATGGATCACTCACCTGAAAGGTATACAAGAATAAAGGGTTATAAAACAAGATTTACACAAGTACATTAGGAAAAGAAATCAAACATACAAAATCTATCAATGAGAAAGCATAAATCCTATTCTCCTTCTTTAGCAAATTCATCCATTTAAATGAGACCATGAACAATCTCACTCACAGCATCAGGGTCATCCTCATCATCCACAGTGTCTGCATCATAGCTAGGATAACCACTGGCTGGCGGAAACATTGTGGCAAGTGCAGAATCTCCATTGGTCTGGCCATCCTCCTCGTCATCCTCCCAGCACTCATCTTCTGATTCCTGCTGTGTTGAATAAAATACAGTTATTTAGTATTTTATCATCCATCAACTTTGGAGACCGCTATGCTACTTGTACAAGAAAAGAATCATGCTTGCTACAGAAAATAATGAAACAAAAGAATCATGCTTTCTACAGAAAATAATGAAACAAGAAAAGAACCAATATATCAAAAGGAGGGAGGGATAAGAGAAAGGACCAAAGGAAAGGAGGTCTGGGGGAGAGGGAGGGTGGGAGGAAGGAACAAGGAAGGAGGAGGCCTGGGGAGGAACGAAGAAATGAGGAAAATGAGGCATGGGGCACGAAGGGAGGTAGGAACAAGGAAGAGGAGGCCTAGGGAGGAAGAAGAAACAAGGATGGAGGAGGCCTGTGGAAGACAGGGAAAAAGAAATGGAAGGCCAACTGATGGAGAAGCAGGAGGAAGAGAGAATCCTTTTAACTACAAACAGTTTGATTACATACACTTACTTCGTCATCGTCCTTCGTCAGGTTTGAATCTATGGCATTGGCAAGTTCGTTAATTAAAAGCTTGAAAATCTTTATTAACACAGGCACTTGAGTCCACTGTTCAGGCCGTACAACACGTTGTGATCGTGTGCGCACTCTGCCCTCTGGGGAGAAGACCTATAAAAAAGAAAGATAATAATAATAATAACAATAATAACAATAAATAATACATAATAATAACCATAAATAATACACATAATACATAATAATAATATAATAATAATAATAATACATAATAATAAATAATAATAATAATAATAATAAATAATACATATAATAATAATAATATAATGAATAAATAATAATAATAATAATAATGAATGGTATCATAATCAACCTTTTAGTTATTTTTTATTTCCATTTTTTTTATTTCTTTTAAATAGAAATGCTACTAAATATGAATATGAATTTGGATCGCATGAAAGATACACCTAATGATAAATTCAAAATAATTCTTAAAAAAAAGTTCAATCTCAAAATAAAACTAGTGGAAATTATATACTGCCTACCTTTCTCACACTCTCCTCAAAAATGAAAAAAATGTAATATCAATATGGTTTTATTCAACAAAATTATCTTTAATGTAGTATCTCTGTCAACAGATGACAAAAAACAAAAACTACACTGCAAGTTAATGGGAATAAAAACACTGTCACAAGGGAAAGTTAGTTATTGAACACACCTGATCTCCTTGAACAATGATGTCTTGCAATCTGGTATCATTTGATGTCACACCATGCTCCAGTAGTTTAGCCAGGGCAACTGCACTAACCTGTTAAAATGCATTTGAAATGACGACCTGCTTTGTAATAAGATGGTGATGAATAGCTAAAATAAAAATAAAGTGCAAAACTAACGTACATTCAATTCATTTATCCTAGAACCTCCATGGAAAAATGTACAAGGCAAAACACAGACAAACACATACCTTTCCTTCATATGCACCGAAGAAGAGATGCTGTTTGGAGCACCACTGAGTGAGAACGAAATGAAGAGCCGACTGTCCTGAGGGGCCAGGAACCCCAGCCAGGAAATTCAACACCCCATCCAACTGTGAGTGGACTAGCTGAGCATACACCAGCACCAGGTTTTGCACAACTGTTAAACTCTCTGCACCCTGTGTGGAACAAGCAAATTCAGAAGAATTATCTACAGTTCCTGGATTAATGCTACAAGTTCACTCAAATGAAACCACATCTCTAATTTAGCTGGCCTAATATGTCCACCTAATCATTTTTGCTAAAGTTATTCTTTGCTCCTAGTCATAACATTTCCAAATTAACTTCCAAAGCTAGATTTTGGACTTCATAGAATGAATCTATGATTATTCATAAGGGACTCTTGAACTCTAAAGCCAATATAGCACAGATTGTTCATCAGATAAATGGGGAAATAATTTGTTTACCGGGCAATGCAAGGTAAATTAAAGCAAATAGAATGAACAAATGTCAATTTTTGGAAGCTAAAAGACATAAATCAATATATTCAAAGAAAGGCAAAATTACTGACCATAGGAGGCCAAATGGAGTTATGACAGGACAAACTTTTTTGTATCTCAAAACTGACACTGCTCTATACTTCAAAGGCAACATTTGCCATATACTCCTCCACATTTAAAGAGTTTTCCTTTAAGCGCTACAAATATTGGATACTACAACTATAAATTACATTATTCAACTTTGAATAGGAAACAGCTAAATGTTAATGGGAACATTATATTGTCACTACAAGTATTACAATCTTCAAACACCAAAAGATTACCCACTGCATATATGATATGATGTTAACATAGCGTACAATGTATGTCCAAAGTCCTTCATGTTCGTTCTAGTTTGAAGATTAACAATCCTTGCAGTGATTTCCAATACATTTTCTGGCTGTTGTTTCACAACTCACAGATAAAATGTAAAATTTTTCTCTTATCAAAAATACCAAAATCAGTCAAGAGTCAAAGACAACTCACCTGAAGTTTACTAAGGACAGCTCTGAGAAGAAGGTCCAGGTTATCCCCTAAGTGGTCACCTGCTCTTCGGATAAGGACGGTAATGAGGCGGCCCACAAAAGTGGCTGTGTGTTCACTAGTGGCTGGTGATAAGAGCTGTGAGGCTACTTGTACTACATATTGCAACCCTGATCTGCCCTCAGCATCATGATATGCTAACACCTGAAAAAGAAATAACCAAGATCATAACATTCTGTTGCATGACAGTTTGAAATTTCAAAAATAATATAAATCTATCAAATTTTTCAAAAAAAGAAATCAATAACATTACCTGATCTGGAGCTACAGAAATATAAGCTCGTAAACATTCTCCTCCATTCTGAAGAGTTGAATTATCATCGGTGTTTAGAGTTCTCTGGACGACCGCAGGAAAGGCTACGTTAATAAGGGGTTCACCAAGTGGAGGTGATGAGGAGCGGACCATGACTTCTAACATGTCTAATGCCACAGCCTGCATACCTGGGGGGACCTGCAGAGTGTGTCTCATTTGAATTCATGTTCACGTTTATCAGGTCTTTACAAACCAAAAGCAAGAAATAACTAACTCCATCCTAAACATCCTAAAATCAGCAACAATCCTGGTTATATATAACAAAATATGCTAGAAGACATTTCATAAATTAAAAACAGAATGCACAAAGAAAGAAAATAAGCTTTCTTTTTCAATAATCTCACTTTATCTGTCGATGCATTAAGAATGGAAGCTAGAGTTGGGATGAATTTCGTCTGGAGTGTGGTGGTGCAGCCCGGGTTTTGGCAGAGCTCCCGGACAACATCTTGTACAAGGGCTACCAGGACAGGGTCATTATTGGCCTTAATAAATACAGCGAGGCAAAGTGTGGAGATCCGGCCAACATTGGCTGCTGTGAAGTTGGAGTCCACAGAAACGACAATGCAGCAAGTCTCCAGGATGAGTGACAGGACTTCTGATGATGCCTGAGTGGCAAGCGTGACGAGGCCATCCAAGATGGCTGGCAAGTATGGCTGGAGGGCACCTGGGTTGCCACTGCCTTTTAGAAACTCACAAAATCCCCACACAGCTCTGTCATATTGAGAGAAAGGCATATATTTGAGAAAGACTAAACATATTACATACATAAATATATTTGAGAAAGTTCAATAAATATATATACTTTTTGTTCTTTAGGAGCACTTAAGTAAAATGTATCAGTCTACTAGCTGGTCCTTTTATTTTAAAAACACTGTAGATTTAATAAAATGATTTTATTTTAAAAACACTGTAGATTTAATAAAATGATTCTGAACACCAGAAAGTTCTCATACTTCATTCAAATCATGACTAATCGAGCCTGATGTATCTAGTTCCTACTAAACAGTGCATTCTGTCACACTTTACATATATCATTCCTTCTAATAACCAAATATTGAATAAATCAGATAAAAGTAAACACACACTACTGTAAAAGTTAGCATTTCACTTCCAATTTCGTTAAAATATATTTTCTCAAGAGAAGACTAACCTGACACCAGAAACCTTAATGATGGGATTAGGACTATCTTTGAGAGCAGACACTGTTGCCTGAAGGAACTGTTCCAACATCTCAGGAGTTATGGCTTGGCCAAATCTACTTCCACACCACAGGGCTCGGCCAGCCAGGAAGGGAGATGCTGGAGGAGGATGACCAAATAAAGGTTTCCACAATTCATTGTAATTATTTAATATCTGCAACTGCTACACCTTTCTTTTTATGAAATTGCTAACTATATATATATATATATATATATATATATATATATATATATATATATATATATATATATATATATATATATATATATATATAAAAAGTGATCATATTCATCTCCATACAACCAACTGCTACCATATCTGTCATTCTTTCAACAAGATTCACAGTCATATTTTTCTTCCTGCATGTTGCTTACAAGACTATTGTCAAAATAAAGAGAACAGGACTTACAATTAGGATCCAAGTCTGCCAACACTACAGACTGAATGAAGTTTGTGAGGTCAAACTGCAGCTGTCCCTTAGCCACCTGATCCAGGATAAGGTCACGCACAGACCCAAGTGCCAGCATGACTGCTTCGTGGGTTTTCCACCACGCAGGATCCCCAGCTGACCTCTGGGTAGTCGCACGCTCGAGGTGCCTGCCCACAGCCACAACAAGGCCCTGGCCACAGTCTTCGGCGAGTTCCTGACACAAAGCCTGTGTAGGGAGAACTCCATTAGCTAAAACCTGGGCAACCTTATGTTTATTTAAATGAGAGCACAAATAGCAGTTAATATCATACTTCACAGTGACGTTTTAGTGATAATTTGTTTTCTTATTGTTCATTTTCTAATCAAACAATGGATAGCAACTATGCTCACCAGAAGGAGATCCTGGGCAGATATCCTGACAGAATAAGCAAAACTATCTTCATCTTCATCTTCAACAAAGGCATCTGGATTATTGCTCCAATTTTCAATCTGTAAACAATAGATTATCTTTATTATACCGTAACTCAGTGACAACTTTAGTCACACTTAAATTTTTATAAAAATTTATTTGCTTCCTGATTCTGTACTTTCTGAAACCTTCAAAAAATACTAATAAGTTAAAAGTGAGTTTTTTGTGTGTTTTTTTTTAGATGAATCTTCAACCCCCATAATTCCTTTGAAGTTTACCATGACATGTAAAGAAAAAGATCAATTTTCTAAACAGATATAAAGCAGCCTTCAGACTATATAGGTTAGAATATAATAATACAGCAAATCGATCTATTTCTACCAACAGATTCACTAATATAAAGAAATCTATATCTCACACATACCTGATCCTCAGTTATTTGCATATATAAAAGGATGTAGTATATCAAATCAGCTATTCCTTGCTTAACCATCTGTTTGTGTTTGGTCGTCTCCACAAGGGCATGGACAAACTCAAATATGGTAAACACTAAATTTTCAAAACCCAGAACTTCACCTGAAATTTCACGAGAATAAAACAGGGTTACAAAGAATTACATAAAAACGTTGTCTTAGTATATTGAAAAAAATAATAATAATAATAAAATAAAAATAAGTTTACCACATCCCAAGAGAGTCATTCTTGCATCTTTTGTACACCAATCTGACAGCATGTGTCAAATGAATTGATAAATGTGCATGAAAATGACCTCTATGCAATATTCACCATAAAAGTAACTTCAAAAAATATAAAAGCATAAACAAAACAATATCAAACTTACCATCTGAATCAACAGGGTCATCAGCATCTTCTCGTGCATTGACAGTGGTGTTGACATACGTATCGGCGCTAGAAGTTAAGGTTTGCCACACAGGTCCTAGCACCTCCCCAAGATACTGGCCCATTTGTTTGGGTACGTTCTTCATCAACACTGTAAGAGCTGGAATACAAAACATTTGTATAAGTTAAGGCAGTTCATATTTCTTTCTGTGTGGTAATTTTTATTTCTTTGTTTTTTCCTTCTTTGATTCAGAGCACCATCATTTGATGAAATGAAAAAAAGGTAAAAAAGCTATTAAAGGATTAGAATTACTGTATATTCTTGCTAATTTGCAGTTTTCAGAGACAGATTCTCTCATTTCCTACACAGAAGTATAAAAGAAAAAAATATACCTATACATCATATAACAGGTCTTTTATCATTTATTTCCCAAATTTATCAAAAGCTTTATCAGAAAAAAGTTATTTGATACATTCAGACCCTCAAAAAGACTCCAGTGACTTGATTTGTGACTGAAGATTATAAGTATTTATTAATATGTTTCATGTATACTAAAAAAACACACATCCTCCAATAACTTCAAAGTAACCAATATGACATTCACTTTAATACAGCAAGACTAATCAAGAGGCAAGAAAAATCCATCACACTGTTAACCCAATCATGCCGGGTATCACATATATGAGACACCGGAAAAAATAAACATTGCCGGGTGTCCCGCCAGTGTGACACTGTATCAGGGCTGCGCTCCGACGCAGCAGCAGCGTGCGGCCGGGCGGGTGACAGACTCCAGGGAAGCTCCGCCCGCCGATTTTGTAGCCGCCCGGAATATTTTTATTTTGGCTACAAAATGTACCCGGCATGAGTGGGTTCATGTAATATCCTTACTAAAATTAATTTTCTCTTAAGCATCAATATCTCTGCCTGTTACCAACTTCCATTACAAAACATTTTCCACAGCAAAAATTCATGAACCAATACTTACCACTAAGAATTTCCTTTTTGAGGCCGGAATCGGAAGTGAACCCATCCATGGTCTGCAAACCCTTGACAAGAGCTTGAGTGAAGGCTGGAAGAGTCGGGTAGAGAAGGGTCTTGGCTAAGCTTCTATTATACTCGCCCATCATACAAATTAGGTTGGCTAAGGTGCTGAAGATCTCCACTGCTCTACCCCTTGTTCTAATGCCATATTTCTGAAAGATGTCATAATATTCAATTAAAAAATACTCAAATTATCATATCTTTTATAAATTTAAGAACCTTTACAGGTCCAAGACTATGAAAAAAAAAAAAAAAAAAAAAACAATCTTATAAATCAGATTACTACAAAATCTATTGTCCTTCAGATACACATGCAAATCTATTTTCAAACAAATTTAGAGATATCACACCTCTTACAGGAATCTTTTCACATAGAGAACAAGATCTTACCTCCTCTTCACAGAAAATGCGATACATCTCAGGAAGGATGACTGGAGCAACTTGGGGTATGTGCTGATCAGTGAGATCCCGAGAAAACTCGGTCAAGACTCTCATTGCACCATGTACAGGTGCCTCCTCACCTGTCTTGAGGGCTGCCATCAACAGGTCAAACAGCCCACACCAATTTTCTGGCCAGTCCCAGTGGGCAATGGCAGATATTGCATATGCTACCGAGGATCTGAAAAAGAGGAGAGCCTCATGTCTACTGATATTCCTTTTCAATCTGAGGCTCTAAATTCTGAATATTCAAAAATATTTTTCCATGTACCAACTTATTTTATCAAAAATTTCATAACCAATAGCACACATACCTGACTTTACTGATGGGTTCATGTAGGCCATGTGGTAATAATTCTTTGATTTTGGCTTTTGCATATTCTGGACACTCTGGTACTCTAAACTGTAAAGATCATTTAAAAAGTAAAATAAGAGCTTTTAAAATGTGTGCATAAATACTCCATACTTTACAATTTATTTTTCTGTAAATCTTATTTAATCTTCCCATATTCTCTAAATGAAAAATCATACAAATAGTAGCTGGGTACCTAAGCACTGAAATAGTGGCCTTCCAGGAGCTGGCACTTTCCAAGTATGGCTACTGGATGGTGCATTCCACATTTATTTACCAGTGGAAAATAAGGCTAGAGACCATTCCTAAGTGTCCATCGAGTATAATCACCCTCAAAGACCTTTGAGTACCTGTGGCAAGTCCGACACAAACTTGCTGCCATTAGCGAAGGCCAGGGAGACAGAAGACTCACCACAAGGGAACAAACCTCTTGGAGTGACTTGATTTGACGCTTCAAAGGGGGTTTCAGCATTATTCCCATTGATAAACGAATGTGGAATGCAATGTGCGTAAGCCATGACTGGAAGAGCACTGGCTCAAGTGAGGACACCATTTCCATGATGCACACCGTATTCCTGGCCGCTGTGAGCGGCAACGCAGGTTGTATTACAGGAAATCAAAAATCAAGAAAAAATAAGATATATGAAAAATATCCACATGTTCCATATGTTTTTTTATTTACAACAGAGAGGTGATATGAGTCTGTGTAAGGAAAATAAGCTATTTCCATCTGGATAAAGCAACTCAAAAAGACAAATATGGACATTGGAAAATGACAAAAAAGCTAAAAAAAATTACACAAAAAAACTTTGCAAAGGGGGAGGCATTGACGCATGCCTAGCCTGCACGCCACACGCCTGGGATGTTGGCTACTTACATAACCTACTGCCCATATATTCGGCACTATGATTTCCATAACAACCAGATCCAAAAAGTTGAGAGCAAAATAATAAATAAGAAAATTTATCACAATCCTACACTCTATAAAGATGAATTGTGAAAATATCTACCTACAATTTTCAACAGCTTTTAAGACAAAATTCATACCAACCTACATATAATTAATGAGAAGTTGAACTATGACCCATTTACCAGTACCACCAATATTTATTCTTCTGTCACAGTATATTATCTCGAACAATAGACATTTGTATGAATAGTTGCAAAAGTCTGCTATCAACAGTTTAAAAATTGAATACTATACATCCATATATCTATCAGTGTATATACATTTCTGCAAATTCTTCTTCAACCCAATGCTACCAGGAAAAATGCAGTGTTCACTTGAGTTTTCTTTGGTGAAAATGTCTTTACACACACAGCTCTACAAGTGCTCTGCCCTAAAGGAGTCATTTAGTGAACCTTGCAACTTCATCTGATTTCACCTTTCCTTGAGATTAAAAAAAAAAAAAAAAAAAAAATCTTAACTAAAACCATCAATATCTGTGCAGTTATTTTTATAATACTTAATCATTACAAAAACAGTAATGAATATATACATTTTCAATGTACATATGTTGGTGCATTTACAATACACCAAAATACCTCAAGAAACCTTGTAATGCATCTACTACTATCTACTAAAATCTATATCAATTACCAACCTATCTATAAGAACAAAAAGAGACTGGCAGATAACCACAAATCACAATTTTCTCACCTTCTCCGAGTCCGTACACCAATGAGCTTCGACATACTGTTTAAGCAGCACAGAGGCCAACTGCCGGATGGGAAGGGGGCCATTCCGATCTAGAGTCAGCTCTACTAAGTGGACACCAAATTCTGAAAAAGGGGACATAGTATTACTCTTACAAATCAAGCCTAAGTCCAAGACAAATAAGAATGATTTGGTGTTATGCACTGGACAATCTAATTTGACTGACAGTACACTTTGTGCATCATCTGAAAATATATACCTAAAAATAAACTTTTCTAGATTATATGATCTGTTACACTTTATTGTAATGCAAAATAATTCATCATTTTTTTCATAAATAAACAAACAAATGCATGTCATTTATTAGACAGTCAAATCTTTCAACATGCCAAGTAGCTGTATCATGGATCCTATTTAGGATGAATGGTTTTTAATATGCAACCTACAGGTTTTGCTAACAAAAAGATATTACTTACACAGTTATTCATTTTCCTTACATAACTGGGCAACATATCATGAATAGAATAAACAAATGGAACTGCACAATTCACTCATTTTCTGCTTTCCTCATCAATTAAAGAAATCTACTGATATTTCAACATAATTTATATAACAGGAATATACAATGTTTGTACCACATCTGCAACAATATTCCCTTTTTTTACAGACAACCCCATGAATGTCAAGATTATCATCATCTCTCTTATGCTTGTGAGCAAAATATACACTAATGCATGCAATATTTTGCAAACTAACCATGCAAATGTTCAACAACTGTAATGATTGTACAAATCTTTTAAATTTGATTTTTGATGTTTTGCATAACCACTTACTTTTTCTTTAAAGTAGTTCATTCTATCAATTTAACTATTACATTTCTTATACTCCCCCCCACCATGGTAGGAATATACAAAGAAAATTAAGAAAAATGGTGCAGGTACAATATCTTCTACACCTACCAGTCCTAACTGTCCGAGTGCAAGGGTACTCAAGATTATCTACATTCTCCTCTTCATTATAATTCACCCAATGGCACCAGGGATGGCATGTATGCACAGGTCATCCACATTGGGAGTTTAGTCTACTGTCTTTACACATAGATGGCTCTACAAGTGCTTAGTAACCAAGGAGTCAATAACTAGTACTACCTATCACACCTTTCAACTTTTTCCATGATTTTTGGATATTCTCACATCTTATATTGCTATTAGAAATGTTAATAAAAATATAAAAACTATATTAATGGCACCAGAAAAAAAATCTGAAACCTCAGGTAAGGGTAAAGTAGGCAAGGTCACAAGGTCTAATAACCAAATCCTTGGTGGCTGAGCACTTTCAACACTATCAATGTGAAAACTCAACAAAAAAACTTACCGCAACACTCAAAGTCCCAACAAAATTCAATCAATCTCTGCCACCATTCTTCTGGACAAACACACAGAACCACACATCACGGTTTTCCACATTCATGTCTGTCTCTCCTTACAACTAGCACATCGTCATATTTTATATCAGTGCAGATATGCACTAGTTACTAGCAATTAGCCTATCTGGTGTGCTTCATATTCAAATGTGCTCACAAAAAATTTCTGATGAAATATTTTATATACCAAATCAGTCAGGGGGAAAAAATCATTCTTACATCAAATTGCATACCCGAACATATAAAACAACTTTTCAGTCTCCCCTTGCAATATGGCTTCTTTGCATATCTTCTTGCAAAAGTATTAAGGGCATAAATGTAAATTAACCACTCTTATATCTAAATCACATCTATTTGAAGAAAGCATGAATATTTTGCTTATTCATTCTCCAAAGCAGAAACTTCTTATCACGATACTGGTACTTAACCCAGATTAACAGCCTCGAATCATCCCTGTGAGAATATGAATTTGATGTGTTTCTTGACATTTCATAACTTTTTAAATCTTTTCGATACAAATTGCTGTTAGTCTGAGTTTATTAAATACTTCTTGGTAGATCTTAAAACAAAATCCTTTAACATAAAATCCACAGAACATTACTCATCTATATAAGATAACCAGATGATCTACAGAAAGTAAAAGCAGGTTCACAATGGTTCATCAATGATACACATACAGAGGTTGAAGTGCTTACAAAGTACAACTGTTTAGGAGGCTATGCCTACATCTCATTCATGACCAGTAACTCCTTATCACATCAATGTTTAAAAATCCAGATTCTAAACAATGTTTAATCACACCCTAAGCTCATTTCCCTATGGTTTGGTCAACAGCTCAAAAGCCTAGTCTTGAGCAAGACAACTGCTCTGGTGTAGAGCAGAGCTCAATAATGCAGCCTACCATATCCAAACTTTACACAAAATTTTATCCTGTGTGAATGGGTTAAAGAAAAAATATTTAACCTTATTGCTACATTTCAATTATCAAAACATTCTAAAAAAAACTTCACTTAGGAGAAAACTGATCAAAACTTGGTGAAAGCCTTAAAATGTAAAAAGTTTACAAACAAAATTGTCACTATGTGACATTTTTGGAAAGTCTATGAATTTTTTTTTTTTTTTTTTTTTTTTCAAAGGACAGAAAAAACAAATAGAATAATCAAATAGAGCATACACAACACTATTGACCCATTGAATCCAAGTCCCTCACTTTGGGACTAAAGACACAGGGATAACTGCACGCAGTTTAAAACTCCTATTGCCTACTCTCTGCAATGCTGAAAGTTATCATCCTACCGAGGTGTATATCTTTCAGTTATGTTGTATCAAAATGGAAATAGACCTATTATACTGAGCATTCTTCTTATCTCTCCAGATAGTTTAAACACTGTGCAATAGTAATAGCATTCAGCAACATTGTGTTACTTGTATTATCTTACTATATTTTCATATTCAATTTTCAGTAACACCCTGTGATACCAGTAACACACAAGAGTTTTTTACACACATGATGATACATCCTTGTCACCGACATTCATAAACAATTTTCCAAGGCATGGTGTTCCTGTCACTTGGCCTTCAGCCAGATTTTTCCCAATGACGTACCTATTAATTTTTTCTTAAGACTTGCCTGTTACATAGATCAAGATTAAACACCAGTCCACAAAAGCTTCTGAAAATATTTATATACATCAACAGTTTCACACCTCTACACTCCAGAAACTAGCAACAATCAATAACCTTACACCCCATTTCAGTTTGGTAGAGCTAAACTTATTGCCTCGGAGAGAACATGCGGTTCACTTGGTCTCCACTCCAGGTATTGTGTGTGGCTGGCTGGGCTTGCTTCTGGGGCCCTTTTCTGACAGGGTCGGTGTATAGCGCTCATCACACCGCACCAACAAGGTAATGCATTTAAATTTTTTCTTTTCACTTGTGTACTAAACAATTTTTGTTTCTGCATACTTGGAGATGCACGACATGCATATTAGTTGCTAGACTGAACCTGTAGTAGTTAAATTATCTACTAATAGCACCATGAAAATTTTAAAAAACAATCATAAATCTTCACAAAAATCCAAGGCGAGATCTGGTAGGCCTAGTAACCAATTCCTAGGGGACTAAGCATGTCTGGAGCCATCTCCGAGTAAACAAAAAGTAAACTGACAATGGAATGGACCTGCATGCATATGCACTTCTAGCATCAATGGGTTAAATGCCAAATCAGATTTTTTCTTCTCACAAGTCCTTGCATTTGATTATAACACTACCACAAAAAATCATGACTTGAAATTTTCATTGGCCCAGTAACTTTAGCCATCACTAAATTACCAGAAAATGCATTTAACAAATGTTATGTTACTTTAAACTTTCATCTATAACATAAGAATCAATGCATTAATGTGGACTGTATTGTGAGCCATGACTGGAAGAGTGACAGCTCTAAGATGGACACAATTTCCATGCTCAGGATCCTATTCCTGCCCACAGTTACCAGACAGTATTACAGAAAATTGAATATTACAAAAATATTCTTTAAACTGACAAATAAAATGTCACTTTTGTTATTGATATTATGCAAGGCTATAGATTACGTAGAGATGACATGGAGTTGAGGAAACCATTCTATTAACATTTTCATACAGCATAACAAATGACAAATATAGACATTGGAAAATGGCAAAATAGCAAAAAACTTGTGCAGAAGAAGAGTTAACATTGCAAAGGGGAGGCAAGGAGGCTTCACATCACACAAGTGTTTGTATGCACTCGGCCTAAAAGCCACACATCCAGGAGAGTTGCCAATCATGTAAGCCTAAAGCCCAGATTTTGGGCTGTGTGCAGGAAGTCAAGCACCCCATTCAATGTCTAATGATGCTTGTTCTACAGATGAAAGTTTTAAGTCAACAAAAACAATAGATGTATTTTTGGGCTATTGGCCTGAGAATACACTCGAGCACACATGCCTTCAAATCAACTTTTTAGGTTTGCATTATATGGATGAAAAAACTCCAGATTAGATAATAAATTAATGACTTGTGCATTTACTTTACAATTGTAAATCTCTAAGGCACTTTTAAATACTCAATTTTCATTAGATTTCTTAAACGACAACCACTGTATTATGAACTATCATAGATGGCCTACAATTTGAAGTCAACACTCAGCTAGCCTACAGCCGATATCTGCTGAAGCATATTTGGTAAATCTTTAGAATAAAGACCCACTCACTACCCTAACTCCATAAACTTTATTCAGTAGTATCAATTGCCATGACTGCGCGTGTCTGAGCAGAGGGTTGATGGGGATCTCTTCTCCTTAACATCCCCCGGCAAACATTGTCTTCACCTTGGTATTCATCTCTGCCAATTATTTCTTGCAGCAACAATTACAGGGTTCTTGCACATATAAGCTGATAAAATTTAAGACCTTTTCAAGTTTTTACGACCTGGAGCCACCTGTCGCAAAATACAAACTTCCCAAATAACGTATAGGCCATTGTCGTGTCAGTACCCAAGATAAAAATAATTCACCCCATGATTTTTTCAAGGCCTCAGGGATAGATTGCATAACAGTCCGCACAGAGATCCGCAGGTGAGTGAATTGTGACAGCGTCTGCCGGCAACAAATGTGTTCATTTCCACAAATAAAGATGCACCTTGAGCAAGTTTAAGATATTTTAAGAACTACGACAGAGAAGCTCCATTTTTTTTAATAGATTTTTTAAGGCCTTAAATTTTTTTATTATTATTTAAGACATTTTAAGACTTTTTAAGAATGCACCCAAACTCTGAACTACAACTTTTTGTTCTATACACGAATACCATTATCAATTTACCCTAACTTAGTGCATCCACACTGTAAAGATTAACTGCATATTCGGCTAGAAGAGCCTTCGTTTCATATAGACTGATTCGGTAACACCTAGCAACCGCCCCTAGCAACGAACACTTGGTGAAAACAAACCCTCGTTCATTCAAAAACTCACTGTGCTTTGCTTACAAAGTCGCTGAATTTTTCCAAGAATTTAGATTCTTTGCATGAAGATGCCCAGGAGCTGTATTGCCATTGGTTATTCGAAACACATGGGAAAGAAAGGTTTAACCTTTCACATATTCCCAGATTGCGAAAAGAAACCTGAAAATGGAAGCGATGTGTATAGGCCATGAAACGCGTGAACGCTGATGGGAGTGCTTGGGCGCCTGGTGGAATATGTTTACTTGTGCTCAGAACATTTTACTGATCTACATATGAACAACATTTTACACCTTTCCAAATTCCAAACAGATAATCACTTTCAAACTCTATCTGTCTGCACTACCTACCAAGGCCAAACAAGGTCAACATTGTCAACATTAGGTTTTGACAGCAGTCATATACTCTAAAAGGCACAAATGCGGCTTTATTTTTCTTATCTATTTATTATTTCCTGTAATACATTGATTTATCATAATGTAAATTTACTGGCAAACCATCCGCGGATCCACCTCACCCAGGCTTTATCTAAGTGTCGTCAAGAACTGTCCATTAGATGTCTGTTGCCTTTGTGTCTGAAATGTCATATGGTCCAGCAGATGAAACAACTGAAGAGGGCCTATCTCTTGAGGTCAAATTAGTGAGGAGAGAGAAAAATGCGTTGTGCACTTGTAGGTCTTTACTTGGATTCATTGTCTCCTTTGTATAAAGACCTAGTAAATCGGAAGAAAAGTGATGTTTGGAAATTGCACTGATTTCACAGAAAAATACCCTACATAGCTAAATGTCATAAATTACTATAGAAAATTATATCATAGAATTATTATTATGTGGTGTGTTGGTGAAATAGTCGTAGATGTCAGGATATTCAATATAGGCCATTTCGAAAGATTGTCGATCCCAATTTCAGCAGGCGGGGGGTATGAACACTGTTAGCTGCACAGCTTCTAGTTATACTTTATATCACTTTTTCACCGTTTTTTATAGAATCAAAGAATTCATACGTCATTTTCACTCACGCTGATAGCAAGGTATCTGCGAGTGATGGGTTTGTTTTCACCAAGCGGAATGGTAACTCTGTTTCATGACGTCACACCGAATCGGTCTATTTGTCAAGCTACTCTAACTTTCCAGAAAATGAACAGATTTTTTGCTGGGGCACCAAGAGGCAAAGGCCAAAAGTAGTTGTGCAGGTTTCTCCTTGACAATTCTCTTTATGGAAAAAATCATATTTGTTGTTTACACCATGGGCAACAATATCAGTTTCAGAAATACAGCTTAAAATTAAATTTCCACTGACACAGATCCCGGTCAATGCGAACCAAGAATTTTCTAATGTGCAGACCAATCTATACAACTTTGACATTCACTTTTCATACAATATTAAAACCTCAGGAAGCTGTCAGTGCAATGCAAACCCCAATTCAATATACTTGATGTTATGGATTAATATCTAAGTGTCTTTTCCTTTCTTTTTCCTTTGCCATGAAAACAAATCTGCAGAACCAAAACAATGACATTTTTCTGCAATGGCCACTAACAAGCTTATTTTTTCACACCGTCATGTAACCGACTTTAACCATTGGTCATCTGAATGGAAAATTATACTTTCCCCACATTAAAAATCCTGTTTAATCCTGTCCTTGTTATATAAAAGGTTACACCCACATCCACCTACCCTGCGACCTTCAAGAGACACTCGATAAAGGGGCCTTCTAAAACTTGGACAATTTTTTGCAAGTCGTCGCATAATGCTAATTCAAGATATCATGGAATAATGGATAATAAATTGGCTAATTCTGCCCTGGATCCCCCTGCATTGCAAGCCCGCGTAAGGATTGCATGAAACCCCCGTGCAAGATCCTACAAACCCGAGTCCCTTCCTGGCTTTGTTGTCCCGAATTACCGATTTATTGCCTTTCCCGTCAGGTCACCCCCTCCCTGAAAGATGTTGGGGAAAACAAGAAAACAAATCTGGGCTAATCGCGATTCAAAATCTCCTTCGAGTGAACCATGTTGTTGTCACACGTCAAAAAAAAAGGATTTTCCTTCTCCCTTTCTTCTCCTCCTCCCTCCTTTATCTCACCTTCTGTCACCTCCAGGACATGGATCTGCTCCTCGGCTGCACGGCGGACATCAGCTTGGGGCGATAAGATGTTGTTGAGGTTCTCTATCAAAGCCTCTCTCAGGCCATTGCTCACCTCGGCGCCGGCCATGTTCCCGAGGGGCCATGCGCGCGTCCCGGCCACGAGGACTACGGCCACGCCAGGGAGCCTTCGCTCTCCCGCCCTCGGACAAGGGGCTTTCGAGGGAGGCCGCCCACGGATTTATATTTTGGGGGATGAGATAGTATGAGGAGCGGGCGAGGCTGGGGCCAGAAAGGTTTTTAATTCGGATGAATTCGCCTCGGGACAATGAGTGATTCTGGCGGGAAACCGCGCCAGTTTGAATCTCCCTTAGGAGTACGACAACATTTCCGTCGTATCATGCAAAATCCGACTACTTTTTAGAGCACCAGCCTTATATATATATTTTTCTAATCCTAATAAATGGGAATATGATTCTTTCATTCCAATAATGAACGCCACAAGGGAACGCGTGCAGTAGCCTGGGGGCGCGAGGCCGAGGGTGCACCCGGGGCGACGCCGAGGAAGGGGCGAAATTAACTCAATTCGAGATGCCACTCTTTGTTTCTTCTTTTATTATCTACTCAGGGAACAGGCATACCCAACAAAAGAGGAAGAAAGACATTGTTAGAGTGAGCTGAACATGTACATCTCTGGATGTTGACAGAGAAGTTGTCGTCTGTTTTTATGAGCGAGTACTCACTTCTACGCTATTTGATGATTGCATTTGTGTGTTATTACGCGAATTTTGATGTGCGTACACACCATGTTATGCAAGGACAGGGCAGAGTACCCGCTGGCTTCAATGCGTACTCTCATTACATCTGGTCTGCAGTCTGTATGCATGGTGTATGTTGCAGATGTTTGTGTGTTTATTCACAGGACAAATACACATGTGCTCTATTACATATTAATGAACAGGGTTTGATATATGTATCTTCTTTTATAATCAGTGTTTGTAACATTTTTTTTTCTGTCAACATGGTCAAAAAAGCTTTAGTGATACGATTGCATATTTAATACGCATATATAATCGGCATATAAGGCATGTAGATTAATTAATCCATACATATGTTCAAAAATACAATTATATATACGCACAATATATGAATGTGTGTGTGTGTATATATATATATGATATATATATATATATATTATATATATTATATATAATCAATACTATATATACATATAATTATAGTCCTTATATTATACTTATTATACTATATACCTTTATATACCTATATATATTCTCACCTTATAACCTATATCATATATTTTAAAATTTTTAATTTTCAAATATTAAAAAAATTTTTTTCCCATTATAGTATACACCGTATACCACGCACAGCACACCCACACACACCAGCCCCAACTTCTGTTTCACACACCAGCCCCCACACACTACACACCACACATCCGACCCCTCCCCACCCCGCTCACACCCACCACACCCAATCCCGGCTCACACCACCACACACACACCACACCACCACACATCCCCCTCACACACTCACACTACACCACACCACCTCCTCTTCCCCTACCCCCTCCCATCCCTACCCCACCCATCCCCCGCCCCCTTCCGCCTCCACCGCCAGAACATATATATAACCATCTATATATATTACTATAAATATAGCTATATAGCCCCCTATACTATTAATAGTATCACTCAACTTTACATCATTCATATTCTATATAATCTACACATACTAACAAACACTGCCACAACAACCCAAAACACCTACACAGTCACGTCCCACGTACCAATGCATATCCATACATCCATCCCGGCCAGAAACAGACTCACATAACAACAGGACACAGCACAGACTAGAATCCCAACAGAAAAAAAAAAAAGAAATAATAAGGACTAGATTAAGCTGATGACATAAAGAAATGCGTTAGGAACACAACTGCGAGAGAAATGAACAACAAAAAATATTTATATAATAGTACATATATATAGTATAAATATATATATATGTATATATATATATGTGGTATATATATAAATGTAAATAGTATTATATTGTATATGTATGTATAGTATGTAAGTACTATATATAGTATATATAGGCACATCGTATATTGCTTCGACACATTAACACACACAACCGGTACACAACATTTTTCAGTGCACACAAAACACTCGACATCTCCCTTCCCGGTATCAAACGCTCCCGCCACAGACTTACACGAACGATCCTAAAATCATGTGCACTGTTTGGTCCGACTGGTTTTTTTTTTGTTTTGGTGTGGTTTTGTTGTGTGGTGTGTGTAGGTCGTGTGTGTTGGGGGTGTGTGTGTTGTGTGTTGTGGTGGTTCTCTAGTCTAGTCTTCTTCATCTAATACAACATATACATATAATACATCCGATAATATATATACATTATATATAGATATAATATTTATAATATATATATTAATATATGTATACGTGTGTGTTGTGTGTGGTGTGCTGTGGTGAGCTGATGTGTGGTGTGTTGTGTGTGTGTTTTGTGAGAGTGTGTGTGTGGTGTATATGTATATATATCGATAATATGAATATAATATATAATATATTATATTATATTTATATAATATATATATATATAATGTGTGTGTGTGTGTGTGTGTGGTGTGATGTGTGTGTGTGTGTGGTGTGTGTGTGTTGTGTGGTCGTGTGTTGTGAATGTACAGTGTGTGTCAGCTGATGTGTGTTGTGTGTGTGCCGTGTCGTGTATGAGTTATATATGAATATATCAACACACACACAACAGCATACATATATAATAATCACACACACACACATATATAATATTAGTATATATATTAAATTATAATATATTATAATATTAATAATAATATTATATATATATATATGTGTATGACTTATTATATATATATATTAATATTATAATTAGGTAATATTACTAGATATATAATATATTATATAAATATATATAATCACATCCAAAAACACACACATTGAATCATAGTAAGTTATATGTCGATATAATATATAATTGTTTATTATTATTGAGAACAATATGCTATGTGATTAAATAATTCTAAATGCCTTATATGGTGCGGTAATTGATTATGTATGTATGACAGTGATAAAATTATGCAATCGATTAATGATAACATTCAGCCTTTTTGAACACCAATGTTGACAGGAAAAAAAAATTAGGTTACGAACCTACTGAATTATAATAAAGAAGATAACATATTAATCGACCCTTCTTACATTAATATTGATAGATAGATGACAACTGTGTATTATTGTCTCTAGAATAAACACACCAAATCTTGCCAAACAATACCGACCATGCATATCAAGAACTGCAGACCAGATGTAATGAGAGTACCGCATTGAAGCCACGGTTAATTATATCTGACCCTGTCTCATTGCATTAAACATATATGGTGTGTACGCCACTCAATATTGCGTAATAATGATCACCATATGCAATCATCTAATATAGCGTAGAAAGTGAGCTTAACTTCAGTCATCTAATATGAACAAACAGACTAGGGTACAACGGAAACAACTATCTATTCATTGATCCAACATTACCTAAGATGAATATGATTAACACTATGATTATCAAGTCTCACTCCTTATATACTAACAATGTCTTTCTTTTCACTCATTTTGTTTGGTGTTGATGTCCGTTGGTTGTGTCCTCGCTGTGAGGTGTTTGAGTAGTTAAATTGAATGGAGATAAGGATGTGGTAAGTCGAATGATATGTGGCGTATCTGGCTGGAGATTGAAGTTTGAGATTTTCTCGGGCCCTCGTTTGCCGTGGCGGGGCGTCGGGCCCGGCGGGGGGTGCAGGCCTCTCTCTGGCCTCTGCGCGCTCCACAGGCGTACTGTGTGCTACGTGTATACGTATTCACTCACCGTGTAGACGTTTACATTTTGAATTGAAAGAAATCATATTCCCTAATTTATTATAGAGATTAGATAAAATATATATATAATCTTAGGCATTGATGCTCTAAATTAAAAGTTAAAGTCTCGGAATTTTTCGCATGATACGACGGAAAATTAGTTTTATGATTTCAGTACTCCTAAGTAGGGACTTCAAAACTGTACGCGGTGTTTATTATCCGCAGATCACTCAATTAGTCCCCGAGGCGAATTGTTCAATCTCGATTAAAAACTTTTCGTGGCCAGCCTCGGTATCAACCGTCCATTACACTACTAAATTCTCATCCCCCAAAATATAAATCCGTGTGAACTGAGCCTCCCTCGAATGCCCATTGTCCGTTAATGGCGGATAGAAGGAGCGAAAGGCTCGACTCTAGGCGTGGCGTAGTCCTCGTGACCGGGACGCGCGTCATGGCACCCTCGGAAACATGGCCGGCGTGCCGAGGAGGTTAGAGCATATTAGCTGAGAGAGGCTTTGATAAGAGGAACTTCATACAACATCTTATCGCCCCAAGCTGATGTCCGCCTGGTGCAGCCGAGTGAGCAGAATCCATGGTACTGGAGGTGACTGAAAGGTGAGATAAAGGAGGGAGGAGGAGATAGAAAAGGGAGAAAAGGAAATAGTATCCACTTTATTTTTTTGACAGTTAGTTGAACAACAACTGGTTCACTACGATAGGAGAACATTTTATGTAAATCGTGACGTGATTTAAAGCCCCAAGATTTGTTTGTTCTTGTTTTCCCAATCAATTTTTTCAGGGAGCGGAGGGTGACCATTGAGAGGACCGGAAATGGCAATTAAATATCGGTTAAAATTTATTACGGGACAGAACAAAGCTCAGAGAAGGGATCGGGTTGTAGAGATTTGCACGGGGGTTTTCATTGCAGATTCGCTTTACGGCGGTCTGTTGGTTCGCATGGGTGCAGGGTGGTGGATCTCGCTCAGGGGCTAGAGTATGTTGAGTCGCATATGTTTGTGTAGTTGTATCTGCTATTTAGTTGTGCCTAAATGGTAGGTATTCTTTGTGAATTTGTAGTGTGGCTCGTGATAGAAGTTAAGTGCGTGGAATGGCAATAGAAAATTGTCCGTATGTGGTTTAGAAGGGTGCCTGTCTGTTTGTACGTTCGGGGTGTGTGCTTCGTGTTTTGAGAAGTGTTCGGTGAGGGATATGGGTTGGTATATGATGGGTTGATACCTTTTTTATATTAACAAGGACAGGTATAATTAATACACTAGGATTATTAATGTGGGGAAAGAGTGAT